AAGGAATGGGGCATGCTCTGGTGGCTGCTATCTGTTGAAAGAAGTGCTGTCACATAGACCAGTGGTTCTCAACCTTTTTTTGTACCAGAACCCATTTGTAAACATCGATGGCCAGTCCTGACTCAGTGCCCCTCTCTTCCAACCCACTGCCCCCTACCCCCAGGCCCAGTGTGGGGGGCAGGGCTGCCCCAAGAAGCCCCTTGAATACTGGAATTCTGACAGCCTGAAAGGGAAAAGCCACCATTTCCCATGTTTTTTAATCCATTTTTAAAGTTTGTTCGTGACCCTTTCATATATTCTTGTGACCCACTTTTGGGTAGCAACCAATGGTTTGAGAAACACTGCCATAAGCAAGGCTTCAGGGAGAGAGATACCCATCCCATTACTCTAATGTTAATAATAAACCCCCCCCAAACACCTACCAGATATTCTTGGGTTTTCCTTTCTCCCATTGTTTGAAATCCCTGGAGCTTCTCTCTCTCTTCTCTCAAGGTCTGGAGTTCAGCCTGAATAAATTGCTGAGGAAAGATACAGTTTTGATTAGCATTTACTTGCACTGTTTTTTGGGGAAGTCCCTCAGCAAGGGTGAACAGTTTGTCCTGTCTATGAAATCCTGTGTGACACATAACCACCAGGCTGAAGCTGGCTCCTTATTCTTAGTTTCTGATTCCCGGTTCCTTATTCCTTATTCCCGATTCCTTTTTTCAAAGCTAATCTATAGCTACTAATAGCTTGTTAATAATAAATTACACAGTCTAAAGAGAGCTAACTGCATTAGCTATGCATATTTACTAATTAATTAAAATGTAAAATAATATCCTGCATCAAGTACAGAACCCTAAAGGAAGATCAGATTAGAATGGGATTATGGGGCAAAATACTTCTTGGGCCACCCCAAATTTCCTGTCACATAACCTGCCTCCTGGTCTTTGTCCTTTAAACTAATAAAAAACAATAGTCATGAAAACACAGAACTGTTACAAAATAGGATCCTAAACAGAAGTTTCTTACCTTGTACTTTTTGGCAGCTTCCTCTTTGCATAACGCAGTGTGAGCTTGGTGGGTGTGGGGTTCCCTGCAGATCGCACAAATTGGTTCCTGGTCCTTCTCACAGAGGAGTTTCAGCTCCTCTCTGTGTGTCTCAGTCACTTTTTCGCACCCTGCTACTGCGGTTGTCTGCAAACTCAGGCGTTTAGCTATTTCTACAATGTTTGCCAGCTCCCGGTTGGGCCTGAAGTTTCTCTGCTGGGCAGCTTCTCTGCACTGGGGGCAGAAGAAGTTTGCCTCGGTTTCCTTCCAGTACTGACTGATGCAGGCTCGGCAGAAATTGTGCCCGCAGGGTATAGACACAGGGTCTTTGAAATACTCCAGACAGATGGAACAGGAAAGTTCATCTTGGAGACTCTGTACAGGGCCCTGTGCAGCCATGGCTACTGGTAGGGGGTGTGTTGACTAAGTTCGTTTCTCTTTGTTCGGGTCAATTCCAGAAATGGGTGTTTCCCTTCCTGGCTCTGCCTGATTAGCTGCTCTGGCATGAAGCAAAGCTATGAGTTTAAAACCCTGGGAGATGCACGCCTCCCCTCTCTATGAAGGAGTGACAGTAAAGTCTGAAACTCATAAATGCAATTAAAGCTTGTGAAACAGGGCTAAGCAATAGATAAATCCTGTGTCTGTTACTCAGAGGAGAGATGAATGTGATCTGCTGGTAAACTAGTAACAGCAGGATCACAGCTCAAACTTTGTGTGAGCTCCATTCAGGGGCAGTGGGACCCATAGCTCTAACATCCCATGAGCTGGGCTCTGCACTCCTGCTGGTGCAGTCCGGTGCCAATGCCTTCGTGGCCATTAAGGGGAGGGGGAGCCATGACATTGCTGTGCCAGCAAGGACGGGCAGAGGCTGGCAGCTAGACGAGTGGACTGCCAGCACTGGAAGGGCACAGGGGGCAGATCCAGGTGGGTGGCTGATAAGTAACAGCCAGAGGTGTCAAATGGAGAACTCTCCATCCCACCCTGTTGAGCTCAGGGAGGGTCTGAACTGCAGGGAGAGATTCTGGGGGAGCTGTTCTCCCACTGGGCAGTGGATGAGGTGGTGACTGAGAGCCCAGAGGGTGAGGGACCAACCTTGTCCCCGAGTCCTGGACTCCATGGAAAGCTTGCAGCTTTCAGGGACTGTGGGCAGAGCATCATGTGATCTCAAACTGGATTGTGTCCTCAGTCCTCCCCCTGAGCAGGGGCTAGTGCACAGAACTACTGTACCCCCATTCCCAGAGAAGCCCTGGTAGGGTGTGCTTGAGACATTCCCTCTGGGACGTGTGATTCATCCAAAGGACATGTGGAAGTGACTGCAGCCTGTGATCAGAGATCAGTCTAGACCCCCCCCGCCCATTGCCTAAGCAGGGAGCATGGCCTGTCAGGGGGTGCACCAATGCTCTCAGGGGGTGCATGTGCACCCCTGTGGGCCCCTATGCATCATCACTGTTTGTAAGTTTGCATTGAAGCAGCTCCCATGCCTGAGCAGCCAAGTGGGACCCCTTCATACCCCTGCCAGCCACTCCCAAGCCTGTTTCTAACAAAGGCATGTGGACAAAATGACCAGTTTGGTTCTGAATCACACAGGAAGTTTCTGGCAGAAAAAATCCTGATCCCCAGGTCTGCAGAATCTTAGGTTACCCCTTTAACCACAATGCCACCCTTTCTCCCGTGCGCTGAAGGTCAGTGTCATTCACCATGGAACTAGATGTATGGGAGTCAGGAGTGCTAGCTGCCTGCACTAGCCTTGGTTCAGTTAGGAAGAGGGAAGAGAATACACTTCTTCTTTTCTCATCTCTTGGTTTTTAGAGGCCTACAGAGGCTATTTCTAGAAGTAGTGTGTGTGGGGGAGGGTGATCTGGCTGGGGGGAGTTCTGGAGTATCATGGAGATTAGGGCAGAAAAGAGGGGGAGGCATTCATAGGAAAAGTGATGGGAAGTCCAAACAGGAAAGCAAAGGCATTTGACACAGCCAGGGAGTTGCTTTCTAGAAACAAGATGCCCTGTTCCCATGCCTATGTCAGGAGACAGCTTAGCAGCTAGTTTAGTTCAGAAGAGGGCTAATATGGACTAAACTGTAACACATTTGACTCATGTGGGTGTAGACTCTTGACCAAGCCCATTTCTCATGGGGATAAAAATAGGAAACAAAAACTTCCATCTGTTTTCCTTGGGTTAGCCGAGTCACAATGTATTTACAAATCCCTGGGGATAGCAAACCCCATCTTCCCACAGGCAGCTTGCTGTTTGTGAAGGGCCAGGGATTGTCCATGTCATTTTATAAATCACCCACACAGTTCCTGCTCCAAGGATATTAATGCTTACATTAATGTTTACAGGAGCCTATGTCACCTCAACACAGAGTACATGGTGGACCTCCAAACCACAACTGGTTTCCATGATATCTGCATTTGAGGGAATATACCCACCTGCCAGACAGCAACTGTCATAGCGGCACACTTTTATTTGACCCCAGCAGGCTTTCCTGCCAGAGCAGGCAGGGCTGGACTGATGATCTCATGAGGTCCCTTCCAGCCCTAAACTTCTGTGAATCTGTGAATCTATGTTCGTCTGCACTGGCACTGAAGCACTCATTGTCAAGGTGTGGGACTGCATCGCTGGCACACGCAGCCTGGAAAAGCTTCCTCCTTCCTGCAGATATCCTGCAACCATTGCTGATCTGAAAAGTAAGAGATCCTTCTGCTCAGTGCTTGTAGTCCCGACACATCAGAACTGTAAGGACCCTCTTTGCAATGAGCTCTCACCTCTTTGAGTAGCTTAACTCTTTGTTGAATCCCAGGTTCAATACTGTTTCCCCACATAGGAAGCTACTATGCCCTTTATTTAGGTAAAGGTCAAACACTTGTAACCCTTTGGGAATCAACCAGGGCCAGTTTGATTTCTAAACATGCTTCAAAATGTATGAAGGACTGTCAATCTTGAGTTTGTCTTCCTTGTTTTTGCACCTGGGAATGCTCTTGCTCAAATGACCCTACGTTTCAATCAAAACCTAAATCCACCTCCATCCCCACCATGAGAAAGACAACATTTTGGGCAATTAATTGAATTTTAGAGCAGTTCGAGTTCTAAGAAGTAGTGAAGTGCCCCATCCATTTCACTGGAGCATTTCCAGCTGAACGAGAATACCCAGTGGTGATGAATACAGGCATAAATGATGTTTCTGAGAGGTCTGACTTGCTGCATTCATCTCGGTGGAGGTTCTCTTTTCGTCCCCGGTACCATTCCTTGAGAGCTTGTTCTCATCTCCTCAATCCAGTCTCAGCCTTATGTGCTTGGTGCTTCTCAGTGAGACAGGGTTGCATGTTACCAGCTCCAATGGAAGGGTCCAGACCCCCAGCAAAGAATTAAAGTATCTCTGAACATGGCTACCACATAAAGCAGTCAGAGAAAGGGACTCAGATACACCCAAAGAAACTGGCTGTCAGCAGGAGGCCTTAGCAGAGATATTCAGAGGCCCACAAAAGCACAGCTCCCCGCAGATCCCAGCCCTGGGCAGGCAGAGGAAGTGTTCTGTTGGGTATGCTCCATGCTTGCTACTGGATCAGCTCCTTCAGCAGATTTAGGCACTGTTCCACTTGGTTTCTAGATCCCAGTGGGGATCTAGGCAGGAGTTAGACACACATCTGACCTGACATATACAGGCTTGTAAGCACTGAGGGAGTTATTATATAATAACTGAAACAAAGATCCACCCAAGCCTGAAATTTGAATTTTAAAGGAACCACATTAAAGTGCTTGAATTGAACATAGAAGAGAAAGGAGTATTTCTAAAATGAGATTGAAAGGGATTGTCATTAGGTGCTTATAGCTTTCCTTTAATGGAAGCCATCTTGATGGGAATGAATGTCAGTAAAAATAACCAAATATTCAGGTTACAAGAACAGTTCAGATGGCTCCTGTGCTCCTCGTGAGAAGAATAAGGAGGCCTTTACAGTGAATAAGATTCTTTAATGAAATCTTTTTCTGGAGTGTACAAAAAATTGCTAAAAAAATAACCGTGTAAAATTCCAGAAAATGTTCTCCAAATGTGTAGGCTTGCCTCTCCTGTTTCTGCTTTATCCATCCATACACACTAGCTCTGAGAAACACAGATCGTACCACTGAGCTCAGCAGATTTTAACTCTGAGATCTAAATATCGCAACTGCATGGTCAACATCACTAGTTCTTTGACTGGTGATTATTTTAGCAGAAAAGTTGTGGTATTGCATGTATCTCAAACTGTTCCCTACTCCCTTCCCATGGGTCAAGATCCCCAATATGCCTACTCAGTAGGCAAAACTTGCAACTTCCTCTGCTGAAAACTTCTACAACCAATAAATGTATCTATTGGCAGCTGGACAACGTATAACGATACAAATTGAACATCAAAATCTATGCCCCAGGGGCTGCTTAATTATGGGATTCAAGCTTAGGCCAAGTGAAATACTGCATGTCAAACCTATCTCAGCTTTTGAGGAATGTACAACTAAGGCTGGAGAATCTAGAAACCATGTCACAGAATCACTAGTTTCCTGATCCCCCAGACATCTCTAGTTCTTCAAAACCACAGATGGATGATAATGCCACACAGACTAGGCAATACCATTTGCTCCACTTCCTTCTTCCTTGTTTTGATACTCTAACTTCTGCAGTCATGGAAATGGAGATGTCAGAGGCTTCTCTAGATTTCATTTCATGGTCTACATTGAGATATAACCTGTATCTCAGGGGCACAGCATGAGCTGGGATTCCCAGACCCAGAAGAAAGGGAGGATTCTTTCTCCATTGAAGGAGGCTGGAGGGAAAGTGAAGCTTAGGACCTCTTTATGAACATCAAAAAAAGCCACATGTCCCCCTTCATAGTCCAGAGACACCCGGATTATTTTGGGCCTTCCATTCAAAGGCAGGGAAGTTTCAACAGAGGTGAAAGCCCGGTACTGCTCTCCACAGAGCCCCACAGCCCATATGCCTTGGCAGGGGTCAAGGCTGATCCATCCTTTTCTCCATGCAGACTCTCTGGCAACCCCCACAGCCCAGTATCCTGTAGGGCCCATATGCACTTCCCAGTAATGTCTTCCTGATGTGAATCCCTCACAGCCCAGTATGGAGCAATATGTATCAAATCTCTCGGGATTGTTGGGCAAATCCTGCTCTGTTTCTTCCCATCTCACACTTTTCTGATCCTCAGAAAGAACAAGGTGGCAATTTGCTGTGTCTGGATCCAGCTTCACATTCACTGCAGAGGGAAAG